TTGCCCCGGTGGGACTGTCTCCCTTTGGGTCTCATCAAGCAAGCACTAATGTCCCTACAGTTGAGCAGCCACTGATCTGGTTTTCTGTAACTCCAAGCTGAAAGCATTCTTTGTGGCTGCATCGGGGACACCTTCGCCTCCTTGGGAAGTGCCAGACATCAGGGGTGCAGGGGGCGAGGTGCTGAGGTGGCTGTCAGCCACACACGGACTCAGGGTCCCACTCCTCCACCGATCAGTGCCCTGACCCAGGCAAAGTCACTTCCTTTCTCGCTCTCAGTTTTCATCCTGGTAAAGGGAGGGGTTGGGTTACATCAGGGGGTGTCTCCTAAGGACGACTCACGAGCCCCCCAAAGCCACAGGAGACTGCTCGAACATTGACTGATGGCAGCGAGCAGGGGAGCAGGTCCGCGCTGGGCTCGGTGGTGAGTGTTTGGAGGTGACTCAGTGAGGAATCAGACGGCCTCGGAGTCTTTTTTTCATTCCTGTTCCCCATTTGTCAGCAATCCTTCACCGTGCCCCAGTTTCAGGGTGTATTTTTAGTGGAAATAAACTTGCACAGCTCAGGATTACGCAATTCCTCCAGGAGTGTCTGCAGAGCCTGCTGGTGGAGCCACGCTAGTGAGCAGGGCACGTGGGGGCTGCTCCCCCGACAGTGCTCGGAGCGGCTGGACGGGCCCACGGACCAGCAGTGCAGGAAGGTGGGCGCACTAGGGAAACCGTTCGGTTTTGCCAGGAAAACAAAAAATTTCCATGGCTGCAGCTGGGGTGAGGCGAGTGCGTGCGGCCTGGGCGCCAGAATCCGCGCCTTCGAGCTACTCCCCAGCTAGTGGGGGAAACAGCTGCCGTTTGCAAACCTGTTTGCCTTCTAAACCCAGGCCCCGTCTGCCTTGTGTTTTGCTGAACACCTCGATAGGTTTGCAAAAGCGTATTTTGGGGCCTGGGGAGTTCGGGGGAGCAGGGGGCGGGGGCATGTTAAATCCTCTGCCTAAATAAGGGAGGAGAATTTAGAGTTTCTAGAGGTTACGGAGAAGGTAGAATGTCACAGGCACTGTTGGTGACCTGGCCAGACTCCTGTTGCAGGACTGGTACACCCGGGCCACTCCTGCTGTGATGTTGGCAGTACCCGTCGCCTGAGAACTGCTCCACCTGCCAAAGCCTGGGAGGTCACACTGCCCTGCCTTCAGCCGATGACTGACCAGTACAGGGCTCTAAGCGGCCAAGCACCTGGGTTCAAGGTGGGATAAGTCTGAGGTGCCTTCCATGTGCCAGGGCTCCCCGTGGGACCCTGCTGAAGCCAAGCTTCCACTGCACACGGCCCTGCTTGCCTTCCTCCCCTGCCCTGCCCTGCCTCCCTGCCTTGCTTACACCTTCCTCCTGCCAGTGCTCCCTGCACAGGCCGTCTGACCCAGGTGCTACTTCTGCTGAACAGACCTATGACCAATGATCATGGAAATGGGGAGGACAGAGGGGCCACCAGGCTGGGTAAGGCTCCTTCAAATGGGACAGAACAGCCAATGTCCAAGGGCTTTTAAGCACATGAATATTTACTGTTCTATATGAACCACTACTTATTAGTTGGGCAGTCATAGGCAACTGTTTTAATCTCCTGCTGTGATATAACCTCTTCGCCCACCCCCTGCAGTCTTAGGTACAGTCTGCTATACACACAAATGCCTTGCGTGTGTGTGTGTGTGTGTGTGTGTGTGTGTGTGTGTTCACGTAGGGTAAGGTACCGAATTCCACAATTGGATTGACCCAAAACAAAGACAGACCATGCAGGACAGTGATACGATCCATAAATGGAATTAACTCAGCAGAAGCAGGAGCTAGAGGTGACCACCAGCACGTAAATACTTGGGGAATTTGCATAAAAGCTGGGGAGAGCTTGGGACTTCCGTGGGGATTATATTGGGAATTGGAGTCATCCTTATCTACATCTTAAGAAGCAGAAAGACCCCAGCCGTGTGGAAGACACTAGCAGCTGTCTATACAGCACCCCTTCTCTCTTTCTGCCTTAGTAACTGAACACTGGTTTTATTGTGGACAGCAACGTGCCCAATTAAGAGAATATCTTCCCAGAGCAGTCGGGGTGGCCAAGGAGAGGCAAACCCAAGTGCGTGAGGGGACTGCTCGGGAGTCTCCCTGAGAAGAGCACAGCTTGGGCCCTTTGTGTACTTTTCTTCTCCCTCCTATGTCCTGCCTGGAACTTAGATGTGATTACTGGGGCTCCAGCAGCCTTCTGGAGCTACATTGAGACCTTGAGGATGGAAGCTGCTTACTGAGGATGGCAGGGCAGAAAACTGCAAGGATCCTGAGTTTCTGAGGCCCTCACGGACGTGCCTTTGGGGTTTAAACTACTGAAGCTGGAACTCCAGCACTCACAGCAGCCTGCGAGCCTGATGAACGTGGGCTGTGGGGCGCGGGGCTTTTGCCCAGGTACTCCCTTTCTCCCGGGGTTATCGTTATTGCTTATTGCCACGTTTGCCATGGAGACAGCTTTGGGAAGCAGCCTAGGGCGGGGGAAAGAGCTTGGGCTTTGGAGTCAGACTGAGCTGGGTTTGGATCTCAGGTCTCCTGCTTCCCACCCGCGTGACTCTTAACAGGTAGATCTCAATTGTCATTCGTGCTCTACAAAATGGGTGGAATAAAGTGTCCATATGTTCTCAGGCTCCTCTTCATTCAATGTAACTGCAGGTTTGCTGCCGGGCTTATGTGACATTGATATAGCACCTGTCTTGCAGTCCAGCACGTGGTCGGTGCTTAAATAATGCTAGGTACCTTGGCTGCACAGGTCCTCCCTTCTACCTGCCTTGAGGTTTGCAGGGAACAGACTGAGGGCGTTGAAAGGACACCAAGTGTCCAGGCCATTTCGATGTGGCGGGGGGGCTGGGTGAAGCGAAACGGTCTCACCACCCATCTGAGTCTGACACGATGGCCTCAGAGATGGGGGAGGGGGGGAAGGAGGTGGGGACTGAGTTTCCTCTCTCTATAGTCACGAATGCAGCTTCCTGGCTCGCTTGTTCAGCAGCTGGTGTTAAATCGGCTGCAGTAACTGGAGGATCCTCCCCCCTTGGCTCCACACGGCGGCCGCGCCACGAACCCGTGCGGTTGCACTTCTCCAGGGACTGGAGTGGAGAAGCCCAAGGGTTGTAGCTACCCCTTGGATTACTCTACTTTGCCAAGGCTGGGGTGGCCTCTGTGTGAATTAGTAACAGCAGGGCAAGACCTCGTCAAATCCTTCTATTACAATACAGGTTGAGCAACCCTAATCCGAAAATCCAGAATACAAAATGTTCCAAAATCCAAAGATTTTTGAGTGCTGACATAATGGCACAAGTGAAAAATCCCACACCTGACCTCATGTGACAGGTCGCAGCCAAACTGCAGGTGCAACGTGTGTTTTCCACCCATGCCCGGCCTCGTGCCTGCAAACACACCCACAAAGGGTGATAAAACGGCAGGTCGCATGCACCAACGGCAGGTTCCCATGATGTGCCACAGGGGGCCAAGGCCTATGTGCATTACTCACTGTGGGTGTTTTGTTTATTTATTTTCTGCTCAGTGATGTGAAGATACTATTGAAAATGTCAAAAAGGCCTGCAGACACCCCCATGGGTAATAGTGATAGAAAAAGAGGAAGCGTTATGTTTATCTGCAGCATAGAAAACAGCTGTCGGGGAAACTAGGTAAAGGTCTAAGTGTGAAACGCCCTACAGAAGAGTATGGAGTTGGAATAATGACCAAACATGACCAGAAGAAACTGAAGGACAAACTGTTGAAGTTCTATGCCAAAAGGGGTCAATAGAAGTTTTTAGCATAAAGCTAAAAATGAAGATCTTGATCGTGTATTGAGAGAGCGGATCCATCCACATCCCAGCGAGCACATGCTCCTTAATCGTGTGCTGATCGTGAAACAAGCCAAGATCTATCACCAGCTGAAAATTGAAGGGAACTGTGGATATTCAACAGGCTGGTTGCAGAAATTTTAGAAAAGGCGGCATGACATTAAATTTTCAAGAGTTTTTGGTGATGTGCTGTGCTTCTGCTGATCACAAAGCAGCAGAGAAATTCATGGGAGAGTTTGCCAAGGTCGTCACTGATGAAAATCTGACGCTGGAACAAGTCTACAGTGCTGGTGAAGCGTCCCTGTCTTGGTGTCATCACCCCGCAAAGACACTGTCTAAAGCTGATGAGACAGTCCGACAGGAACCAGGGGCGGCAAGGACAGCGTAGCCGTGCTGGGGTGTGCTGACGCAGCGGCATAAGTGTAACTTACTGTGGGTGACAGGCAAGAGCTTGAGTCCCCCCTGCTTTCAGGGAGCAAATCCCTTAGCCGTCCATTATTATGCTAACAAAAGGTGCTGATTACCAGGGACATTTTTCCTGATTGGTTTCACAACCATTTAGTACCAGTGGCTCATGCTTGCTGCAGGGAAGCTGGACTGCATGATGACTGCAAGATTTTATTATTCCTTGACAACTGTTCTGCTTCTCCTCCGGCTGAAAAATGTTATGACAGCTGGGCATGGTGGCTCATGCCTATAATCCAAGCACTTTGGGAGGCCAAGGCAGAAGGATTCCTCAGCCTGGGCAATATAGTGAGACCCCATCTCTACAAAAAAAATTAGCTGGGCATGGTGGCATGCACCTGTAGTCTCAGCTACTCGGGAGGCTGAGGCAGGAGGATTGCTTGAGCCCAGGAGTTTGAGGTTATAGTGAGCTGTGATGACACCACTGCACTCCAGCCTATGTGACAGGGTGAGACCCTGTCTCTAAAAAAACAAAACAAAAAAATGTTTATGCCACATACTTTTCCCCAAATGTGACCTTATTAATTCAGCCATGTGACCAGAGTATCCTTAGCCCAATGAAGAGTAAATATAAAAACCCTTTCCTGAACAGCACGCTAGCAGCAGTGAGCAGAGGCATGGGTGTGGGAGGTTTTCAAAGGGAGTTTAGCAAGAAAGACGCCGTATGTGCGGTGGCCAACACTTGGAGCACAGGGCCTGGAGACGCAGGGTGCGTGCCTGGCACACCCTCTGGCCTGCGGCTGTGCTCAGTGATGACGACGGACAAGGTGGCGACTTTGAAGGATTCTGTATGTCAAGTGGGAAAAAACGATGTCTGACCTCCTTACATATGCAAGAAATATACTTTCAGGGTTGGTCAGTAAGCTCAAAGAAAGTAGATATTGAAGACGTTTTTAAAACCAATAGCGAGGCTCCAGGTGTTCATTCGCTGGTGACCAGCGGCGACATAGCCAAAACGGTTCTGAGTCCAGGCAGTCATGACAACAGTGACAACGGGAGGGTGTCGTCAACTCCGCAGGGAAAGTGCCTGTGGACGACATCATGGAAATGCATGATGGGCTGAAGGACTAGCGCCACGTGCATTTGTAACAGAGCCGTACATTTTGCCAGTTTATAAAATCAGGGAGAGACTTCTAAGTCAAAAACCATTGTTGATGAGGCAGAACGACTATGGAGGAAGCACTGTAAGAAGCCAGCATGCCTCCTCCTCCTCCTCCCTAGAGGACTCACTTCCTGGGCCCTTGACTGCGTCTGATGTTTCTTTTCCCTTAAAAAAAATAAAATAGAATGCAGTGTGCAGTAACCTTTTCATGAAAACTCGGCATTGTAGGTGGAGACGGGCAGCCTGCCGGCTTGTTGGTGCTGTTGTCCAGCAGTGCGGACAGGTGTTCAGTGCTGCCGTCGTGCTGCTCGGCTACCCTGAACATGCTATTTTTTCACTGTATAATGGTGTGGTGTATTTTTTTTTTTGAGACAGAGTCTCACTCTGTTGCCCAGGCTAGAGTGAGTGCCGTGGCGTCAGCCTAGCTCACAGCAACCTCAAACTCCTGGGCTCAAGCAATCCTCCTGCCTCAGCCTCCCGAGTAGCTGGGACTACAGGCATGGGCCAAAAAATATATATATTTTTTCTATATATATTAGTTGGGCAATTAATTTCTTTCCATTTATAGTAGAGACGGGGTCTCGCTCTTGCTCAGGCTGTTTTCGAACTCCTGACCTCGAGCAATCCGCCCGCCTCGGCCTCCCAGAGTGCTAGGATTACAGGTGTGAGCCTCCGCGCCCGGCCTGGTGTGGTGTATTTTTAATGTTAAGTGCTTACGTGAATAGGTGTAAGAAAATGGTTGCTTACCGGTAGCAAATAAATTCAGAGTCAGGGATGATGGCGATGCCAAACAGCCACAGATTGTCCCGTGGGTGGCCGAGATAGAGACACCTCTACTTTCTGATGGTTCAGTGTACACAAACTTTGTTTCATGTGCAAAATTGTTTAACAACATTGTATAAAATTACCATCAGGCTATGTGTATTAGGTATATGCAAAACATAAATGAATTTTGTGTTTGGACTTGGGCCCCATCCTCAAGATGCCTCATTATGTATATGCAAATATCCCAAAATCTGACAAAATGTGAAATGGGAGACACTTCTGGCCGCAGGCAGTTTGGATAAGGGAGACTCAAGCTACGATAGCCGACACTTAGAAAGTGCTAGGCTCAGTTCTCGATGCTTTCTACATAGTGGCTCACTCAACCCTATGAAGCAGGTGCGGCTGATTTTCCCATTTTACAACCGGGTCGATCAACCAGGGCCGCAGTGACTTGCCCGAGGTCACATGATTCTAAGTGCCACCTAGAATTCGCTCCGGAATTCTCACTCTTGGCCTCGGTGCCGTCCTCTCCCGGGGCTGGAGGGGCCTCACCATATGCACGGAGACCACGGCCGAACGCACTCCCTCCTTGACGACGAGGCTGCCACGTGCTCGGGTCATCGACTCCGTGAGGGTCAGAATTGCAATCGCGGGATGGCCCTGGCCACTTCCTTAGGCGTCGTCACGAGGGGCACCGTCTGCTGTCTGTCCCCAGCCGGAGCAGTGCGGCCTGCTGTTTCTCCAGCGCTGGGTCTGAGGCCAGATGCCGGCTGATGTGCACCAGGGACCAGACAGAAGAAGGCACGCGGGTCTGGAGGCGCGGGGCTCCCACCCAGCACTACGGGCGGGCGGCGGGAAGGAGGCCGAGGGAGAGCAGGGCAGGACACGCTCGCTCTGGGGGGCGGTTCCGGGTGGAGGGCAGCGCTGTGCTGTGGGTCTGTCCTGCAGGGGTAGGACTCTCAGTGCACTTACCCCTCCCACCCAGTGCTGGCAGCAAGCCCTCCTCACCGCCCTGCCACGGTACGACAAAAATATCCCCATGCATTTCTTTTTCTAGAGACAGGGTCCCACTTTGCCTAATATGTGACTAGGTCTAAGAAAAAGATTGCTCACCAATAGCAGATACATTCAGGGGCAGGGATGATGGTGATGGCACTCCAGCTAGAGTGCAGTGGTGCAGTCACAGCCTCAAACTCAGCTCAAGCAATCCTCCCACCTCAGCCTCCCAAGCAGCTGGGACTACAGGTGTGCACCACCACACCTGGCTAACTTTTAAATTTTTCTTAGAGACAGGGTCTTGCTATGTTGCCCAGGTTATTCTCAATCTCCTGGCCTCAAGCAATCCTCCCACTTCAGCCTCCCAAAGCACTAGGACATAGGTGTGAGCCACCACGCCTGGCCTCTCACACATTTCTCAGTTGTCCTGGTGGAGGTGAGGACCAGGGACCTGTTGTTTGAGGCATAAGCTCACTGAGTGACGCCAGCATCCCTTTCTGTCTCTGTCTCTGTCTCCCTCTTTGCCCATGAAGCTAAGTACCGTAACCCCACCTGATTGAGCTTGCTGCCGTCACTCACACCAACAGTAAAAAAGAAACGTTTATTTTACTTTCTGGAGGGCTAATTTGAACTTACTGTTTGTGCTGTTTTTATAATATTTTGATTTTTTAAAAATTTCTTCTTATTTTAGAACAACGGTCTGGAATGTTGGAGAAAGTGCTTCTTACCTCGTACAATTTCACGCACATTCTGTTTTGGTCTTTGGTGCTATTCATCATGCCAAACATGATTTCTACACCGGCAGTTGGGCTAGGAATTAGTGCCCCCGTACAAAATAATTTCAGCTGTCAACACAGAGGAAACAACCCAAAGCGCACGGTGAAACTGGACGCGCAGTTCAAGGCGCTCAGCATCGGGCCGTTCCCAAGCGTGGGCGTGGAGTGGACCTGGGTTTCGTTGGCCCACAGGCCGTGCTGAGCCCTGGACAGCATTTCCTGCTTCGGTGGGTCTGGACCCTGGTGGGCCTGTGAACTCGCATTTCTTTCTTTCTTTCTTTCTTTTTTTGAGACAGAGTCTCACTCTGTTGCCCAGGCTAGAGTGCCATGGCGTCAGCCTCGCTCACGGCAACCTCCAACTCCTGGGCTCAGGCGATCCTCCTGCCTCAGCCTCCCAAGTAGCTGGGACTACAGGCATGCGCCACCATGCCCAGCTAATTTTTTTTTTCCTATGTATTTTTAGTTGGCCAATTAGTTTCTTTCTATTTTTAGTAGAGATGGGGGTCTCACTCTTGTTCAGGCTGGTCTCGAACTCCTGACCTCAAGCGATCCTCCCACCTCGGCCTCCCAGAGTGCTAGGACTACAGGTGTGAGCCACCGCGCCCGGCCTGAACTCGCATTTCCAGTGAGCTTCCAAGCGATGCCGATGCTGCTGACCTGGGGACCGCACCCTCGTCACAGCAAGCACAGCGCCCTAATTTAAAAATCTCTTTCCTGCCAATGATGTAAAGCCAGGTGCTTCATCGTGATTTCATTTCAACACACGGTTCACCCATTCGCTCGACAAACAATTACGGAGCAGCGACTGCATGCCAGGGCCTGGCACTGGGGACCCAGCAGTGCAGGACACAACGCCCCCGACGTCAGCCGGGAAGCCAGTGTCCTAGAACAAGAGAAGGGCAATCGACCGACTGAAGATGTAATAGAGGGACACGCGGGGACAAATGCCGGGAGAAAACTGAGGCAGGGCAAGGGGAGAGAGTGCCGGGAGAGGCTGTTTTAGAGAGGACGGTCAGTGAAGGACTGTTTGAAGAGGGGACACGCACAAAAGCATAAAGCAGGGGTCCTCAAGCTTTGTAAACAGGGGGCCAGTTCGCTGTCCCTCAGACCGTGGGAGGGCCGCTGGAGAGCGGCGCACATTCCACACATGGGCATTGTGGCCCCGGGACAAGTTGCTAAGCAGGACAGGCAGTGGCGGCACAAACACCCAAACACCCGGCGGGCCGGATAAATGTCCTTGGTGGGCCGCATGTGGCCCGAGGGCCGTAGTTTGAGGACGCCTGGCATAAAGCGAGGAGGTGAGCAGGGCGGACTTCTGGGGCAGGAACATTCCAGGCGGAGGGAACAGCGAGTGCAAAGGCCTGGGGGAGGCACGGTTTGGTGTGTCCAGGGACCGGCAAGGGGGCCTGCAGGGCTGGGGCAGCGCAAGCCATGGGGGGGGGAGGGGGCACAGCAAGCTGGGCAGGGCCCCGCACACGCAACCGTCGGGGGTTCCAGGTAAGGGTGGAGGGAGCCTTGGAGGGTGCGACGTGGTCTGACTTCCGTTTCAAAAGGAGCTCCCCGACTGCCGTGTGGAGAGTGGAAAGCAGACAGCGTGGAGCAGAGGGAGAAGCCCAGTCAGTGCTGCTGCTGTCATCACGCGAGAAGCCACGGTGGCTGGGCTGGGACACGTGGTGGCAAGCGGACAGATTTAGTAGGATGCGCTGACCCCTTGGATGTGTGGGGTCAGGACGAGATCAGAGCCAAGGGCACCTGCTAGGTTTTGTCCTGGGCAGCCAGGTGCATGGCGGCTTTCGGCAATCCTTAGCGCCAGGGCTGGGGGGCGGGCCACGGGGAAAGAGACGGGGTGTCTGCCCTCCAGGTCTCTCGGTGCAGCGAAACACTCCATCTACGTTCATGGGGCAGGCGAGATGCTCCCAGGGCAGGGCCCGGCTTACCTGGGCCGCCCGTGTCGGTTTATCTGATTAGAGAGATCCCTTTCAGGGCTCCACTCGTGTGACAGATGTCAGGGGAGAGGCTGCCTTGGCATCAAAACGCAGCTGCGCGGCCGTCCCCGGAGGTTAGAGAGAGACGTCTGGTTTGCAAATTGCTAGGATTGGAAAGAACCAGAGAAATTAGTGAAGGAGACTGAAAACAGCATTCCCGATGAACTCTGCTTGCTGAAACCACTCAGCGTCCACAGGGCTCATCACAGCCCTTCTGTGGCGGGTGGCTGCGCTCTAGCCGGCCGGCTAACTCCTCTGGCCTCGGGTAACTGGAGGCAGTGTTTTCGTCTTCATTATTCATCAGGTGCTAGCTGGCTGGGAGTGGGTGGGAGTCTCAGATTTTCTTGGCATATTTTCTAGTAGTTAATAATTCCTATGTAACTCAAATATCAGCTGGAGCCTTCCACCCCCCTAAGAGCTTCAAAGATATTAGTATGAACCCCTAAGTCTATGCCCTGTGCAGTCTACATCAAAATTTCTGCACATTTCTGGGGAAGGAAGGAACTGTAACCTTATTACAAGCAGGGCTCCCGTGTGGCCCAGTCTTTGGATGGGGCTGTGTTCAGGATGCACAGTCTAGTAGACAAAGGCAATTAAGAAGTAATTCCAATCCTTACTTTCATCCTTCGAATCAAACTAAAAAGGACCTCAATTATATTTCGTAGTATCATGTCTCAAAACTCTCTTATCTCTCTCCCATTCTTGTTCACATTCTTATTTGTTCTATATTTTCACCTGTCAAACATTTGAAACTTTCTCTCAAGTCTTGCCCCTTCGCTTTGGGCATTATAGTCCCTGCGTCTTTATTTCTGACTATTCTTTAAATCAAGTATTATAGCAATAAAGGATGCAAAAGTCCAAACTTGCATAGAGAGAGAGAGACTGTATGTGTGTGTGAGATAGAAATTAGATTTATTAATTTTTCTGTTTTTGAGACAGAGTCTCACTCTGTTGCCCGGGGTTGGAGTGCAGTGGTATCTTCATAGCTCACTGCAGCCTCCAACACCTGGGCTCAAGCAATCCTCCTGCCTCAGCCTCCCGAGTGGCTAGGACTACAGGTGTGCACCATCACGCCCTGCTAAGTTTTCTATTTTTAGTAGAGACTGGATTTCACTGTTGCTCAGGCTGGTCTTGAACTCCTGAGCTCAAGCGATCCTCCTGCCTCGGCCTCCCAGAGTGCTAGGATTACCAGCGTGAGCCACCGTGCTTGGCCTATTAATTTTTTAAATATCCCTCCCCTCTCCCCTAGTTTGCCCATTAAAGGTGATTTTCTTTGTCCACTCGACTTCCCTCCTCCTTCTGCTTAAAGCAGTCATCAGGGTAGAACACTTAGCAGAAGACTGACAGGAGCGCAGGGGGGGGGAGAACGCCAGGGTTCCCGTCACAGAAGCGCAAGTGGCGTCACCACGCACGTCGGCATCTGGGTTCTTGGGAGGCGTCTCTGCCGCCACCGCTGCCGCCACCGCTGCGTTCCCACGGGCTGTCCTCCCACACTAGCCCAGCTTGGCCCGTTCTCATGGCTTCTTTGTGTCACCTGCCCACACTGATCACCAGCGTCTCTCCTGCTCTTCTCCTTTCGGGAGCAAAGCCACACGTTCCACTCCTGTCTCGGCAGGACCCGGCGCTGTCAGCAGGGGCAGTCAGTGCAGTGCAGGGCCGGTCCGCACAGGTCGCATCCTGCCCTGGCCGACGAGCTGCGTGGCCTCCAGAGAGCTTTGCAACTTCGTGGCCCTTCGTTTATTCATCTCCAGGATGGAACTAATGCTAGTGCCTTCCCCACAGGGCTGCTGGGAGGGTTCACTGAGTTAACCAGCGTGAAGTACTCAGGGAAGCGCCTGCCCGGTGTACAGCATCTGCTCGCGGAGCCCCAGCTTTTATTATCACTGGTTCCCTGGGCCCTTGGGCTCATCTGTCACCTTCTAACACAGAGACTTGTCCAAGTCTTTTCCAAACAAAGTCTACTTCCTCCCCCAGAAGGCTTTGGTGCTGGCCATGAAGGCTGTTTTTCCTTGTTGCTTCCGTAAAGAGTCCTGGATTTGAATCCGGACTCTGCCATTTTCTAGCTGTGTGGCCTTAGGCAGATCCTTCAACCTCTGTGGGCCTCAGTTTCCTCATCCATAAAGTGGGGCTAGCGACAATGCCTATTTTCCGTGATTGTCAGGCTTAGGATGGGATGCGTGTGCGGCATTGTCGTAGTGAGGGTTGGCAGAGTGTCGGCCGGGTCCTGGGTGTGTCCTGTGTGTCATTTCTCAACACAGCAGGCGGCATCCAGGATGGGGTCAAAGGTGTGCTCGCAGCCAGCCCCAAAGAGCTGTGGGGCAGGGCTTCCCTAGGAAGGAAGGATGCTCCCAGAACAGACAGTGGGGGTCAAGGAACAAGGTGGGCGCAGAGAAGGGCAAGATGCCTGCGGGCTGGGAGGACTTCCCGAGGGAGGGGTCCGTGGGCTGGGCCACAGAAACAGGGGGGGTTGAACAGGGGACCAGGTGGAAGGAACATTGGACCGGAGGGCCCCCGGGCAGAGGCTGGGAGGCGGGACTGTGCCGTGTGCAAGACTGGCTTCCCAGAACCAAGACAGGGGGCTGGGCAGCTGGGCGGCGGGGCAGAAGGTCCGTGCAGGGGGTGACAGAGCAGAGCAGAGGGCTGCGGAAGGCCCCTGCCGGGCTGAGGCGTCTGCACTTCCATGTTATTATTAATAATAGCACAGCAATCATTTGCTGCACGCTGAGAAGCCAAGCGCGGCATGCAGGTGGCCATGTGGATTCTTCCATCCCTCCCATTTCCAGATGAACAATCTGAAGCTCAGAGAGTGAGGCCACACGTCAACACTGTGCCAGGTCCGGACTGACACTCAGGTCTGGCCGGCCTCAAAGGCCAGGCCCCTGACCACCGCGACAGCCGGTGTTGTCCCAGCGTCCTGCAGCCTCTGAGCACGGGTGGTCTCCTTCTGTACGGACAGTGCTCTCCCAGGATGGGGCGGCAGCTGTCACAGCCCTGTGCCCCTCCCCTTCCCTCCTCTCCTCCCTCTGCGTAAGGTCACACACTGGGGACACCCTCCGGCCACCCTCCGCCCCTGGTGGGTCCAGGTGTCCCCGAGTCCCTCCTGGGCAGCGCTCCTCGTCTGGGTGGGGCCGGGCAGGGTAGAGGTGGGACACGGGCGACCGGGAGGAGAGAGCCTTCGCCAGCGAGGGAGGGGCTGCACCGCTCCAACCTTGGTTTGGCATTTTATGTGCCGGGAATAAGAAACCCGGCGTTGCTATGGAAACTGCCATCCCCTGCTCCCTCTGTCATTCTCCGTGGGAAGTTCCTGCGTGCAGAGGGTGGCGGGGCGTGGGTGGGGGGCGCCGCTGCTACACAGGGTGTTGGGTTGCAGAAGGAGGGCCGGAGAGGGGCCCTGGGGGCCGATGCGCAGGGAGGGGCTCGGGGCTTCCGACTTGAGGGCAGGGTGAGGGGCCGCCGTGGTGCCGGGGCTTCTCTGGAACAATCCTGCTGCTGATCACGCGCACTCCAAAGGCACAGACCTGCGTGCGGCACGCAGTCCGGCGGGCAGTTTGGGAAGCGCGTGGGCCCCACATTCATCAAGACTTAGGCTTGGACACCAGCGTAGCCCATGCTCCCAAGCCTCAGTTTCTCCCCTGGAAGATGCGCCTAGTGACAGCAACCTTGGAGAGTGGTGACGTGGGTCCAGGGCTCTGTGCACCTGGCCCTGCCTGGTGTCTCTGTAGCAGGCAGCACCCAATGGAGGGGCGCCCTCTCCTCCCCTCCCCACCTCCCCGGTCCTGCCCGTGGGCAGAGTGAGCCCCTTTACAGAGGAGGGGGCCAAGGCCCGGCCAGGGGAAGGGAGGGGAGCAGGGCAGGGCCAGGGACAGCTGCCTCCTTCCCAGCAGCCTCTCCCGCTTTTGCCCCTGCTGCGGGAGCTGTCCTTCATTGAGCTGTCCTTCAACGTGACCTGCAGGCCTCCCTGCCTCTGAGCCTGGGCTGAGCCCCAATTGTCTTGAGGCTGTCATGGGGGACCAGGCAGAAACAACTCTCTTCTGCCTTTGACCATTAAAATAGAATCAAGTGCTGTGCTTCCCTGTGGGGAAAATGGGGGTGGGGAGAAAAACAACCTGCAAGCCCCAGTGTTGACACCCGCCACCCCGCCAACACCCCTCTCAGCTCCCAGAAAGGAAATAGTTCCTTCCAGGTGATTCGTTAGCTCTTTCTGGGGCAGAAGAAGGTGGAAGATTAATTTTAACTTCTCAGGATATTTTTTTTTCTTTAGCTGTCATGTTTTTCAGACCAGGGGAAGGACAGCAAGTGTCCCCCTAAGTCCACTGGGCCAGAGGGAGGGAGAAAGGGGGGACTTTGCCTCCAGCAGGAAGGTCTTGCCAATCCCAGGGCAGTAGGGATGCTACAGGGCAGGAGGGCCAGCAGGTCCCCATTCCCAGGTCCCCATTCGCTCCCCATCCCCAGAAAAGCTAAAAGCTCCCCCTCCCCCAACATCAAGGGAAGGTGTCATCGGGCTGAAACCAGATGTGTGGGTGTAAAAAACTGGAAACCCGGGGCCTGAGTTCCAGACCAACCCCTTTAGGGATTTGCTGTGTGGCCTTAAGCAAGTCACTTCCCCTCTCTGGGCCTCAGCTGCCTCATCTGACACAAGGGGACGATGATTGCCATTGTGCTCACCTCCCAGGGTAGCCACAGAGGCTCAAAGTAGCGTGGGGCTGGCCTCTTGGTCCCAGCATGTAGAAGGCACAGCAAAGCTTGGGGGGAGGCGTCCCGCAGAGAGTGATCAGAATGGGGCAGTCCCCCTAGTGCACCCACCTGCAGGGGAGAACCCAGAGACCGGGCCCGGCACGTGGGGCCCGGCACGTGGGGCCCGGCATGTGCCCGGCGTGTGGAGGGCTGCTCCCGCTCTGGGAAGGGTGGGACGGTGGGGAAGGAGGTCGCTAATTGATCTCCAAGCAGCGGTGACTGTGACGAGGCAGCCACCAGGGGAGATCAGAGGCCGCTCCTGGGGACAAATGAGTAGTTGCTCTAGGAGGACGGATGTCAGTTCTGCACGAGGGCGGGGAACGTGCGGATTGAGCATTTGCAATGCGTCTGGGAACTGAACAGACATTGCGCCTGGCTGAGAAGCGGTAGGGTTTGGGTGCAAGCCCGGTGCCTGGGTTCGAGTCCCGATTCTGCCACAAAGCAGCTGTGTGCTGCCGGGAGAGCTTCTCCCACTCTGCAGATCGGTTTCCCCATCTGCAAACCGGGGCAACGATGCCACCCGCCTGGGGAGCTGCTGTGAGGATGTGCGTACACAAATACCTCTATCCTAGCACAGAGGACGGCAAAGAGAAGTGCTTGGCGAGAGCTGGGTGGGCGTCGGCCGGGAGTCTGCTTCCCCTTGGTCCTGAGCTGCTTGGTTCATTTAATCTTCTCAATCACCCTAGGAGAGGTGTTCCCCCCCCCTTTTTTTTTTAACAGAGACAGGGTCTCACTCTGCCATCCAGGCTAAACCTCCTGGACTCCAGCCATCTTCCCTTCTCAGCCTCCCGAATAGCTGGGATTACAGGCGCACGACACCGTGCCTGGCTAATTTTCCATTTTTTGTAGAGATGGGGATCTCACTATGTTGCCCCAGCCTGGTCTCAAACGCCTGGTCTCAAGCGATCCTCCTGCCTCGGCCTCCCAAAGTGCTGGAATTACAGGTGCGAGCCAATGGGCCCCGCCAAGAGGTGCCGGTTTGATTCCCCATTGTCCAGATGGGCAAACTGAGGCTCATCCAGATTCAGTGATGTGCCCTAGGTCATCTATCTTGAAAATGGCACCACCAAAGCTTGGGCCCAGCTCTGCGCACTCTGAAGCCATCGTACCTAGTCACGGGGTGATGCCCAGACTGTCCCTCCGAGGGGACACGCCATGCCCCCTCCCCCTGCCCAGGAGGGAAGTGCCAGACTCGGCCACAGAGCTGTCTAGTGGAAGAACTCAGGCTTGGCCTCCCACAGGAAGCTGCCCCTCGCCAGGGTGGGCGAGCCCTCTGAGGGGGGGGTGCTGAGATTTGAGACGAGACAAGGTGACTTTTCTGCTCTCCTGCAGCCCTGGGGGTGGATGATCAGGTGAGATGATGAACATCGAAGCCCTCGAGAAGGTGAAAATTCGCCACCCGTGTGCGGCTGCTCTTGTCTCTGCTAGCTGGGTCCAGCAAGCCCAGATCCCCTCTCTCTGCTGCCTCGAATCCCTGTCCTTGACCATGTTCTGCCTCTCTCTCTCTCTCTCTCTCTCTCTCTCTCTCTCTCTCTCTCTCCCATCCTCCTGCTCTCTGAGAAAACGAATCATCCTCCCCACCCCCCGCCCCGCAGCGCTCACCCAAGATGAGTAATTAATCCTCACAGCTCTGTCTTTATCTGGTCCTCTCAGATTTGGTTACTTTTGGACCAAGAATGCTCAAAGATACGCTATCCAGAGTAGATTACAGAGTCTCACTGAATTTCTCTGCATGGAAATATGTTACATCCGAAAGGTCATTTTATAAAAGGAATTACTAGATCAATGCATCCCCGCGTCAGCTTGATTGCTGTGTCAACGCAAGAAACCGGGGCAAAAATAGCTAATCCGAAGAGTTATTTACTCGCCCGTGCCAGGAAGTCGGCTGTTTCTCTTTTCTGGAGTTAAGGCATCTGAGGCGAGGCTCTCACACGAAGGGTAGGGCAGGCGCCAACGACAGACAGGGACGTGCACGGGCTCTAGGGCTTCTTAAATAGAGGTTGGATGCACGGAGGGCTCTGGAGATAGCGGCTTTCATCCGGCAAATAACGCGTCCGTGCATTCGTTCTCTTGCTTCGAGTCGGGAGCGAGGGTTTGCTCTGCTCTAGCCCTGGGGACACAGAGGGGACGGACATAGACCTAGGTGAGCGAGGGGGCACGTCCCTGCCTTGTGGGGCTTTGGGTTGGGGGCACAGGCAGGGTGGAGGGTGTGGGGTGCTGCGATGGCAGCGGTTTGCCTGGGCTTTGCCCGGGTCCCCGCAGAGGCTGGTTCCAGCTTGGGAAACGTTAGCCCGACCAGGTGGAAGGCTCGCCCTGCTCACCGTCTGTTGGAGAAGGGTCACATGCGTGCCACCTGGCTTCCTGCGGGCAGATAGCAGCTGGGAGGCAGAGAGAGCTCCTCCGGGGAAGATGCTTGGTTGGGCATGATCATGATTTATTCAGCAGCGCCAGACACCTGCATCCTGCGGCCAGCGCTGGCCTTGGTCATTCTCCAGGATTTGTCCTGGGCGCGCGCACCTGTCTCCTTGAACGACCAGGGCGTGGGGGTGGGGGGCAGAGGCCGGCCCGGAGGGAGCAGCCTCCTCACTCTTTGGCAGGTTGGGCGCAGGGAGGAAGCAGCCCCGGCCTGGCCCCAGGCTCGTGGGGATGTGTCCGGCTCACCTGACGGCAAGCACCGCCTGCTGCCGGGGGCACCAGAAATGTCCTCGTGACCCCGAGCCCCGGTGCCAGAGCTGTTCCCCTCGGGTTTTCTCCCAGGCTCACCACGAGGCTTGCCATTCCGCGGAGCCTCCCCCTGGCAATCCCGAGCAGAACCCACTGCCATCAGCACGCTGCACAGCCCGTCCCCGCGCAAGGTGGGAGCACGCACGTGCCCGCGGCATGTTTGCAAACTGGAGGTGGGCTGTGTTTTTACAAATCCAAACCAGGACTATGTTAACATTCACTGAGTAATAGTAAATCATCACTGACAAAAAGCAGCCTGCAGTTGCACGGCACGGCGTCCTCTTCCAGAAGTTGCTCACATCCGTATTTTCCGCATGGGTCTCACGGTCATCTTGAGAGGTAGAGAGGGCAGGTGTTGGGTGGCCTCAAGAAGCGTCACCTGGCATTAGTGACTGAACAAGGACAAGCCAAATCCCCTTGACCCCAAGTTCATCACACAGCTCGGAGAGACAGAGGTCTGTCATTAACCGAGCTTAGAGGTATGTCATATCCTTCTCCGGGCCATCGTTGCAATTTTTAACACGGCTAATTTGATGGCTAATTCTGTTTACAACATTGTTTCTTCTTGGCTAAAGATTGAATAGAAACCTGGGAACTCAGTAGTTGGCTAGTGTGAGGATGAGCCACTGATGTTGATATTAGCAAAGCTTTCGTTTTTACCATCCACTGCAAAACCCAATGCTGTCTCCCTGTCACCTCCCAGTCCCTGGGGCTGTGTGGCCGTGAGACTGAGTCTGGCCACAACCGAGGCCCTCCCCAACCTTCCCTAGGGCTGTTTCCCTAACGACAACAACCGCTTCTGTTTTTTCTTTCTTTCTTTCTTTTTTATATTTTTTCTGAGCAGGCCCTAAGTTGAGCACTTTGTAGGCGCGATCTCAATCCATTGTGACAACAAAGCTATAAAGTGAGTATAGTACACTTCCCATTTTGCAGATGGGGAAACTGAGGCTCAAAGAGGCTGGGTGATGTACTCACAGTTACGCCGGCAGGAAGTGGTGGCGCAGAGGTCCACACCCAGACTGCACGTCCCGAGCGCCTGGGAGGGTAACCACCAGGCTTCACTGCCACCCTCTTCTCTGTCTTCTCTGCCACAGTAGGGCTCCTCTTCCACTGCCGGGGCCCCGGGTGGGAGGACCAGGGGCTTGGGAACAATGGGGCGGGAGGGCGAGCCCCGGGTGGCAGCAGGGGCCACCGAAGGCCAGGGCAGCCGGCCACAAGCCTCACCGCTGCTCCCGCCAGCCCCCCGTTACCGTGGTAATTACGGACTAACAGCGGCTGCCCAGCGGAGGGAGCGGCGGAAGGGTGGCGGGGCGCGCGCCCAGATGGCCCTGCTGGCGGGCGTGGGCTCTGTCTGGTCTTTATGTAAGAGTCGCTCTGCTTCCCAAATTGCCTCCGAGTCAGATGTTTAAACACTTGTTTTGTGTTGATGGTACAGAGGAAGAAATTAAAAGGCCCCTAGGGGGAAACGCAGAAGAGAAAAACCAGGAGCGATCCTGGGGCCCTGTCAGGCCAGATGGAGAGACGAACCCAGTCTGGGACTGGTTTCAAGATTCCGCGAGCAGGTGGCTTCCCTGGGCCTGGGCGGCGGGAGCCAGGGTTCCATGGTAGAGAGAGGGAAGGGGGAGAACTCCCTTCTGGGGACAGAACAGGACAGAAACCGCCAACAGCCGAGGGCCTGCCGTGTGCGTGGCCCTGTGCGAGGCGCTTCCTCGCCCTCGCTCTATCTCCGCAGCCCTGTTTACAGATGGGGAAATCGAGGCTTGGGGGGCTCATGACATGGCCAAGGGCAGAATGCCTAGTACCTAGACCCGTCCTAGGAGTGAGTGCTGGGAGTTTCTCCACCTGGAACACCTTCCCATGCCCCACCCACCTCCCGTAGCAGGCGTCCCCAGGGGTCGTCACTCCAAGCGACCGTGGGGTTTTCCACTCTTCAGGGCATCGCGGCTCTGCGCCAACAACGGCTCTGGCAGGGAGCGAGCCGCTGCCCTCTGGACGGAGCAGGCGCTATGAAGCTTCTCCGTGACTTGGTCCCCCAGCGGGCAGGACCAGGGCTCCTCTCTCCCGCCCACGTGGGTCAGGGGCGAGCACAGTGCTGGCCCACGGAGGGCTGGCGTGAGCACGGCCGGGAGAATCGCAAGGGCACACAATCACCCTTTTACAGATGGGGAAACTAAGGCCCGGAATGCGGGGGCCTTGCCCACGGTCACACAGTGAGTTGGGGGTCACCCTAGAACCCCAATTCCCAGCCCAAAGCTCCACCCGCTCTTTCCCAGCCTTGGGCCTGGCCCTCCCTGCAGATTTGGAAGCGTCCTCCACGCAGACCCCCACGGCAGCTCGTGCCAGAGCCTGCCTCGAGACCTGTTCAGGATCCGGACCTGCAAAAGACCCCTGGTTTGGGAGGGCAGTGGCCTCCTGCAGAGTCTCGGACCTGCAGCTCCCTCATGGCCTGGCCCAGAGGGGGCAGGAAGTGCTGGGAGAGGCAGGGGGCAGGGAGGGGAGGGAGGAGCCACAGGGGCGGCAGAGCCTCCACCGTGAGGTCCCCCTCCATGGCCTGTCATTGGGGTAGAGTCGGAGGGACTGTTTCCTGGTCGACCTTGTGCACAAGGTGTTGCCCGAGTGTGGCTTGGTAGCAGTTGCGGCAATAACGAGCGTTCACAAATATGATCTGCTTGGTAGAATTCCAGGTGCTTGCTGCATTTGATTCGCACAACCCAGTGGGCTGGGGCTTGTATCATCCTGGTGTTATAGATGGGCAAACCAAGGCTCTGCCAGGCCCTGCTGTTAATTAAAGGCAAAACTTGAACTAGAACCACCGAACTCACGGCTTCTGGTCTGCAGCCAGTTTTCCTTCTGGAATCTGATGGACCTGTACGTGTTTGTAGACACTGTGGCCAAAACTGAGATAGAAATCGAGCAAATGGATCTATTTCTGTTGTCTTGTGTGACCGGACAAAGCAGCCCCAAACTCGATGGCTTAAAATAAGAATGTTTTTATGATTTTTCATGCTTCTGTGTTAGGCGGGGCCTGGTTCTTGCTCCACTTGGTCATGGCTGGACACCAGTGCAACTGTCCTCAGCTGGTGGCTGGAAGGTTCTAGAAGGGCAGTCAGTTCTTCTCCATGTGGCCTTTCTTGCTATGTGGTCTCTCCCCCCGATAGGACAGCTGGATTCTGAGAGTGAAGGCAGAAGCTCCCAGGCCACCTGAGGCCCGGGCCTGGCACCTGCGTAATGTCTCACTTCCGCCACCAGTCAAAGCAAGGTACGCTTTATCCCAGACTCCAGCGCAGAGGAAATAAACCCCAACCCTCCACGTGGGGCGCGTTGGTGGCCCTATTGGCAGACCACCTTCCACCAGCAGTTGATAGGATCACGGAACCTGGAAGGAAAGGAGGACGTGAGGACACAGGTTTGACTTACGCAGACTTTGGGGAAGCGCGCTTGGGGCTGGAGCGGGGCTCCCCACACCTCGGCCCAGGGCTCCAGCTGGGCTCCACGTGGCTGGCTCTGCCTCTCTTCCACTACGCCGCTTTCCTCTTCTTCAAACAACCCATCGCTGGCGACCACTAAAAGGAAAGAGAAATACGCCAAGGCCCCAGTCATTAGCCTCCTGGAACATTGGCTGCTATTTCTGGCAGAGCCGAGATAGCTGCAAACCTCTGCCCGCCATCGCCCGGGCTCCGCGCTCCGAGGTAATGAGCCCCCCGTATTATGTGGCATTAGCAGAAGTGCTGGGTGCTGATCAAGACAGGAAATAGGCTCTCCGCGCTCCGCGGCGCGCGGCCTGCACCTGGGGCGTGCGGTTCAGCTGTGGGCGCAGGGGAAGGCGGCCTCCATTTATTGATGGCCTACTGTGCGCCAGCTTCTGCCCTGGGCACATGTGGCCCTGCTTTTCTCTCCAGCCCCATCTGGCACTATGTTTCCTCTCTCTGCTTTCCAACCAACTCTGGCTCTGTTTGTTTCCCACGGGCCACTCCCTGTCTTCCAGGCCTTTGCATGCCCTGCTCCCTGCCGCCTAGCCTGGGGGACTCCAACGCGCCCCTCCACTCTCAGGCTCCCGGGGCTCTCTGGCGGACTGCAGGCCCCCCTGGGGGGCCGCACGCCCCGAGGCATGCTTGGGTCCAGCCCAGTGCTCCGTAAGGACGTGGTGAACAACTGAATGATGACATGAACGACTGACTGCTCACAGCAGCCCATTCTGACAGAGAGGGCAACTGAGG